TTTTTTTTTTTTTTTTTTTTTTTTTGTTTTAATTTGGAATACTCGTTAAATTTAGCTTCAAATTTGCGAGACAAGCCTTTTTAAATATAAATAGCGTAAATACAGGAAATTGGAGAATGGTTCGACGAGCTTGATATAACGTGGCGACGTTAGCTGAACTTTAGCCAAGCCGATGGGTAATCTCGTAATCAAATGTCCAAGTACGAAGTGGAATTTAATCAAACTGAAACACACCGACCATCCTATTCCACTTTTGTTCACGTTGACTGAAACGGAAGTTCCATCACTTCTTGAAGCATCTTGTTACTGTGACAAAGCGGATAGAGATCTATTATTGATTCAAGGTGATAAATATATTCTATTTTCGATGCATGTAAATATATATGGCATTTTATTGCAGATTCTAATTATTCGACTGTAATTATCTTATAAGTAAATTTTATTAATTATAATTATAAATAATTATTAATTATAATATTAATTATAATTTTATTTATTATAATTATAATTATAATTATGATCGATGAGAAATCGATAAAATAACACAATACAATAGTAAAACTTATAAATACGATTTTTTAGAAAAAAAAAACTGTTTTTTTGAACTTTCTTTTCCAACGATTCCTCTATTTCTTCCTTTTTCAACGTGCACTTCCGTTAGACTCTTTGTATTCCTGTCCGTATGAAATTGGCAAATCTTCTTAGAGAACAGGCGACGTAACAAACCATTCCCTTTTCCCTTTGTCTTATATATAGACTTTGTCGTGAGAAATACAGAAAATGTATCAAAATTAAAGAAAAAAAAAAAGAACAAAAATATGTAAATATTTCTAATATTTTCGCTTTTTTATTCTCCATCCTCTTCGATTGTAAAACTTGTATCGAACTAGCTTCAGATTTTGTGTTTTCAATCGTCGGAATTATTTATTCGATGAATTCGAAAGGATAGAAAAAATTGAGAATAATTTGGAAAATATTGGAAAAATGAAAATATTTCGTTGGGCTGAAAAATGATGTCCGCTGTTTGCTTTTTGTACACGAAACTTTCAGAGATATAATTTCAATATTTATAAATCTCGTTCCCATTGACCTGAATTCAAGCATCATGATCACTCATGGTTATTCAATGTCACGTATAATATCTCACTTACTCGTTTTTGCATACAACCTATAATCATTTATAAAGTTTTTCATAACGTGAGGAATAAAAATGAAAAAAGTTTTTTCTCCATTATTTAATTTTTTTTAGTCATGTCAGATTTCTCTCTTTTAAAAAGCAAATAACATATTTTATATCATCACTGAAATGAATAGAAAAAATATTTATATCTTTATACCTTCATTTTCTAATAAAATGTTTGATTTTGTAATATAAAATTTTTGTAATTGTATGAAAGTATTATTAAATAATACTATTTATATAAATTTAATATACTTAATTTATATTATATATTATATATTTATATTATTATATATTTATTATATATTTTATATTATATTACAAAATTTATTCAAAATGGCCTTGAAATAAATAGAATAAATAAAATTTAATTTCCGCTTAATGTACGCTGATCTGCTAGAATCGACCAATAAACGCAAATAAAAAGCAAATAACATATTTTATATCATCACTGAAATGAATAGAAAAAATATTTATACCTTTATATCTTCATTTTCTAATAAAATGTTTGATTTTGTAATATAAAATTTTTGTAATCGTATGAAAGTACTATTAAATAATACTATTTAATAATACTATTTATATAAATTTAATATACTTAATTTATATTATATTTATATTACAAAATTTATTCAAAATGGCCTTGAAATAAATAGAATAAATAAAATTTAATTTCCGCTTAATGTATGCTGATCTGCTAGAATCGACCAATAAACGCAAACCGGAAACGGAGACGCGATTGAAGCAGCATTGATAAACGTAGGATGTTGAAAGGGAATGCAATTTCTGGCTTGTTATCGATCGCAATGTATTGGCTACAAACGAACCTCACGCTTCCGGAATTCGGCCGATAATGATAATTGAACGCATCCGTGTACTCGAAGCTAATTTCTCTCGTGAATCTCGTTGAAATTTGTTTACCAATCAAAGTATCCAGTGATCATTATATTTATGGTATGTTCGATTTCGATTTATGGATTTTTCCTATCATCCTTTTGCAAATATTGGATCAACCATTTCATAATATGGAGAAGGAATAATTTGTTATTTATATTAGAAGTGATATATTACTTTGCGAATTTTATTTTTTCGTGAAAAATAAAAAATAAATTTTTAGAAATTATTATTTATCGTACGAGATATAATTTGATGATAAAATTTTAAAATTCTTTGGGAAAGTGATATTTTGTACAGATCTATAAATGATTTTCAGATTTGTTATTGTCGATATCATTAACGTCATCAAATTGCCTTTCTTTCGATGTTTATCTTGAGAAACAAAAAAAAAAAAAGAAACTGGATCACATATTAAAGAAAATATTTTAACATATTTACTTTTTTACTAATAAAAAAATTTCTTTCAATATTAATTTCGATAATTCTTTAATAATCATACTCGCAATAATAAGCTCGAAGAAATTAATTCCTACAAACAATTTCAAAGAAATATCTTCAACCATTTCGATGAAACATTTAAATGGCCACTCTTCGCCGATCAATTCCATTTAACCGAAACTCAATAATCCCATTAGATTAAACTACTTCCCCATTCATCTCGATATTAATTCAATTTAAAATTCATCCCATCCACGCCATAGCGAAGCGTTAAAATCTATGAAACCCGAGTTTTCGTCGAAAATCACCGACTGGAAAACGGAATTTTCCTTTCCGCTTGAAATTTATCATTGGATGGATACTTAACCGATTTACGAGCCGGCAAATTTACACCGCGATTCGTCACGTCCACTACGAATTTCGATAAACCGGTCAGCTTATAAAAGCCGACCAAAACGATGCGCGGCCGATAATGCAGCGTCAGCCATGCACCGTACCGTGTTTTGGTTAAGCGTGATCACGCTCGCGATCCTCTTGTTTTGGACTGTGGAACGTGGAAACGCCACTTCGGACCCCGATCCCCGGAATATAATTTACATCATCACTCATGGGAGAAGGAAACACAAAGGGAAGATCATTGAGATTCACAGACATCATCCGAAGCACAAGTTGAACATCATACTCATCAATTCGTAAATAAATCTCGAACGGTGAGGTTAAAGTGGGTATAATCGATCGAGAAATGTTCGTGTGTATGTGAGTGGAGATTATATGTGGAATTTTAGATTTATGTTACGATGAAGTGTTGATATTTTCGTTTAATATCTTTGAAATGTTGATTCTAGCAATCGAAACAAATACAGAAATTGGTGTGCAATAATATTGACATATGAAAAATTGTGCTAATCGCGACATCTGCATTTCTATTAGATTACTAGTAACAGTTAGGTATAGTTCGCTTTCTTTTCGTTCGTAAAGAGAACAAAAAAATGCCTCCCAAAAAATTGAAATTGAAATTAAAATTTATTTAAGTTTGAGTTAGATGAAGTGAAAGTACTACTCTCTCATTTTATTTTGTGTTAATTGACATTTTTGCATACCAAATTTTAAGTTTGTTTTGACATCCAGAATTGATATTATAAAAGTATTCTACGAATATAACAACACTCTATATTGAATACTTTGTGGTTTCAGAAATTTTTTTAAAATGACGGAGAACCAGGAAATGTTTCCTTTTTGAGAAAAAGATCAGAGAACTGAGGAAATAACGAGTGCACAATGGACAATTGTAAAATGTGTATTGAGACTATGATATAGTTATGTAAAAATATGATGCTTTATCGTTAAATGCATGCAAATGTTTAATGTTAAAAATGAATATTCGTATACGTTTACATGTAATCCTATTTCTTATGGAGATTAATGAATATGTTTTGTTTCACGCGATATTTCGTGTTTAAACGCACAAGTTTGTACGTTTCGTATAACTTACGAGTCAGTCTTTGTCGAGCGACGTCATGCTCAACGACACTCGTAAGTTAGGCGTTTATTATGGAATTATATGCAATTCTAACGGTATGTAGGCGATCGTCCCACCATGGCAGGAACTTAACTATCGTGCAGAGTGATAAATATTACAGTTATTACGCATATGTATATGCAACAGTTGTTAAACAAGGGAACAAGAACTAGAAAGAGCAAGATATTACAAGAGTGAATCGATTCAAACGTTTCTTACTTGGATTTAAAATATTAAAAGTAAATTATGAAATAATATTTATTATACAAAATTCTAAATCTCTTTTTTTACAGGAATATTCTCGAAACGTTAATATTATCCAAACGATAAGTACTTAAATCACCATGAGAATCGAAATGCAGTGGCAATCGAACCGAGGTTAATCAATTAATCATCAATTCCTCTTGGCAAACTTCCAATTCCTGATCCTGTGCTTTGTATCCGCCGTTGCACACTCCTTCACGATTTCACTTTCGTTCACGAGGGATATGCTTGAAGAGCTAATCACGAGGGATAAAGAAAGATAGAGAGAGATACAGAGTTTCGTTTTGAGCTGAATATCTAAGAGGCGCAAAAGAGATAGTGTAGCCAAGCTGCTCAACAATTAATTGCACGGACAAAACGTAGTCGTAGAATATATAAACGTAGAATGTAGAAGACTAGTAATACCCACTCTATTTTTCTATTTTTATATTTATCCATAGCTTCGACATTGTCCAAGATCAATCATAGACAGTATGTAATATAGTGGGGCATATAACAGAGCTAAAAATTTCAAGTTTTATTGACTATTTTTGCAATTCATATCTTTGCTTTTGTCTAAAATCTTCAGTTTCCAATCTTAATTAATTTCGCAACTCTTATGTTCACAGCAACCATGAGCAATAGAAAATGTTAGGGCCTAAAATCTGAAGATTCCATTTCGCTAATTTCGCCATCCCTAGCTTTACCCTTGCCCACGAAGAAGTACTGAACATTATGGATTAAAGTTTGAAACCACTCCGCTAATTTTGCAATTCCTAACTTTCCCCTAAAGTCTCTGCTAATTTCGCTAATTTTCCACAGCCCTATTCTCATCTCGTCCAGAAAATGTAGCGGATAGAATCCAATAGAATCTAAATTCTCAAATTTTCAATCCTACTGCTAGCTTCGAATAACTTATCCTATAATATTATCTAACCGCGGGAAGTTATACTCGCAAAATGGTAGAACCAACAGAGAGCAAAGGAACACCGGAAGCGTTCGGTCAAGGTAAGACGTTGCCTCTGCTCGCGGCGTATGCACATTCGTTCTCAACCGCGCTTTCCTCCGCTCTCGATGAAACGTTTTCCCTGCCGGGTAAAGGCATCGGTTCTCCCATTAATTGCACCTTGCTCCTCGTTCTACGTTTCCTCGCTTTCGTTTCCCTTCTCGATGAGTATTTGATGGCTCGTGCAACACGTATGATGCGTTGAATACTCGAGAAATGAGTTCAACGGCGAGTTCGAAATTTCAAAATAGGCTTCGATGATATAACTTTCGTATGTCGATGATACGATGATATGATGAAGATTCGTTGATTGCATAAAGATTATGTGCAAAAAGTGTGACTTTAGTAAGAACTTTAGTAAGACGATGTTTAGAGAGCGAATTTAGTGAGAAATGTTTCATTCGTACGAGTGATTTAAGTACAATGAAAATAAAAGGGTAGGGAAAGAAACTTGATTTAAACTGTTATTAAGATTGATATACCCTTTGTCTCGGTGAAGATAATCACTGGTCTTAAACTAGATTGTCACTGAACTTTAAACGAGATCAAATATTTTGACCCTTATATTGCCTTATAATCATTGTACAAACGTAATGGATCTTATTATTTGCTAACAATATATCATAAAAGAATAATATGTTTGAAAGTTTTCAAATTTGGAGAGATATAGAGTATCAAAAGAAAATATATTAAATATAATTTTGATACATTTTAAACGTTAATCAGATTTTGCAAAAATATCGCAAAAGGATCGTTAAATCGAGTTTTCAAATTTCCAGTATCATCAGACGAAACTATTGGAGGAAACTATAACGATTAATCATAAATTGATAGCTACGTTATTATCATAGTTTGGAAATTAGACAATTTATAATAATCAGATTATATCCGGTACATGATGGATAACCATATTAATTACATTAGATGTGGTTACATGTTAATTTGAATTTTCATGCATTTTATTATCGTCTATATTAAATTAATTAATGTAGAAAATATAATTTTTCAATTCGAAGTAAAATAATTTTAAATTATAAACGTTTACAAATTAATTTTTAATTAGAGAAAATATATTTAAAAAAATATATAATATTTTCAAAAATTGGAGAAATTAAATTAAGATAAAAATTTATCGATTCTATTTTTATTTTCCTAAAAATTTGATTCTTGTCGAAGTTTATAACAATTTATAATACGTACTATTTGTCGAAACGATATTATTTATCAATAATCGACAGAACACAACGACAGATCTGACCTAAAACCATAAAATTGCGTCGCATCGTTCTAGTCAATAACGTTCGAGTCGATAAAACATACGTGTATGTATGCGCATACGTATGTATGCATGTATCCACTGTATTCACCGTGCCAACGAATTTCTGATAGGCAGAGCCACACGGCTGTAACCGAGATTCACGGAACAGATGTTCCACGGCGAATTTCCGGCCGGATATTTATTAATTTCCGGCAGTGTCGTAGCTTCGCGTTGGTTTGTAATTAAGTTCACCTAGAGACGTGAAGGAAGGGAGGGAGGGACGAAGAGCGATGAATCTATAAATTTTTTGGCTAATCTATGGACAAATTGCACAAGTTTTTCAACGAATAATATCAACTATCATCTCTTTTAATGATTGATAATTTTTTAACTTTTGTCTATAAAACGCGTGTGTATATATTTTTTCCAATTATTATTTTTGAGGTATTGTTCGTACTTTTTTTAGTTCATGCAAGAACGTCCAGATGGCAGTAGCGACGTACTTTTGTTTTAGAAATTCACAATGTATTACGCGTGTATTTTCTTTAGTTTTAATTTTTGATAATTGAGTATAAAAACGTATGAAATATGAAATAAAATAATATAATATTTTATAGAAGTAAATATTTAATGGATAATGATAATTTCACTCGTTTCTATTCCTTCGTTAAATTGATTATTCAAACTGATTAAGCCAATCAGTATTCAATATCTATTAATTAATGAAATTAAGTTGAATTTGAATGAACAGAACGCTGGAAATTTATCAAGGATTATCCTGTATAAATTTTGTCGATATCGGTAGATTTATCGCCAAATATTCAAGCATCCATTCAGATTTATACGTTGAAGGAAATACGGTTTCATCGCTTTTGTCGTGGATTACCCACGTGAGACCTCGTCTTTGTCGGTGAAACGCGTAGAACCTGCGCCTCATTGTTGTCGGTGGCTGAGCTTTTCATACGTTCGCCGCGCCAATTAAACCCACGTGTTGTCGTTACGCTGTGATGGGTGAAGAATGCGTTGAATTAAGAAAGGAATTTTTGAAACAATGTGGATTGAAACGCGCGTGACGATTTTAGATTTCCATTCTGGATAAGGAAGGACATTTTGTTTAAAAGTAAAACGGCAAAGTTATTTTTTTTTTTTTATTAACATCGATTTTATTAACACAGAAATTGAAGCGTGTATTTTTCCAATGGAGGATAAAGATTTTTGATAAATAGAAAGGACAATTGAGAAAACGAGTGAGAAATGCAACGATTGACTCAAAAAGATCGATGACAATTCTATTAAACGCATATGCAAAAGGAAAGCTGAATATGTAAAAAATTGTTCTTCGTTTTTTACATGTTTCTTAAAAAAAATTCGAGCATGCGCGTACTCAACTGCCATATAGAATAGGATATGACGCATATGTTCGTGTCACCGAATGCTAATAATCTTAAAACTTCGATTTCTACATTCTACTTCGATAAATTTTAGACATCGTATTTGTAAAAATTTAAAAATTATGACCGAAGTTTACCAATTAGAGGGGGAAAAAAACTGGCGTTTCGCGCGAAAAGTTGGTAACCGAAACGTCCATTGGGATTTCACGAAAGTTTCCAGTTTCGGGGCGTCTTTTACAGCCGATATCGGAAACTTTAATCGACGTTCCAGATTTCACTGAGCCTCTCGATTCTCGATTTTCTGACAACGCGCGATTGTTTCGTCGAAAATTTGGAAAACGAATGCCCTTTCGAGGTTCCACCGATGTAAACTCATTCCTCATCCTCGAAGTTACAGCTACAGGAAGTTTCATTTAATTTTTTCGTTTCGAAAACAAATTTCTCTTCTTATCTTCGATGCGAGGATAACGATTGAACTTACAAATAAATTAATACGTGGAAAATTAAGGATTCTATACAAATTTGTGCCATCTTTTATTAAACATATACTAAGAAACGTAAGCATACACGAATCTAATAAATAGATTAGTCATACAAAATTTTAGAACTTAAATGAGAATTTATTTTATTTATTATTTTATATTTATATTTATATTTTATATTATTATATTTATTATTTTATTCTTTATTTTATCTTTTTGTATGCATAGAAATTTTTTCGTATATTTCAACCTTGCACAAATGTGTAAACATCCACAGTCCATTATAGAATAATTCAATGCGAAACTAAAGATACATATACTGTTTACTGCTAGAAAAAAGTCTCGCAGGACGTTACAAGGACAAGAGAAGTCTTTTGCTATCCCCACTTCAGACGCTTTGTTGACAATCCCACTACACACTACATAGTAATAGAAAAGTTATAATTTCAAATTCGTAAAAATTATTTTCATTTGTAAAGCTACGTTAGGATAATCATTTAAAATTGAAAGTTGAAATATTTTCAAAATTATTTTATACATATAATTATTATCTGAACTATTTGAATATAAAATTACATTTATAAATTAAACTATTGTCAATTCATAATTAGTTTACGTATATCATGAAAAATAAAAAAATTTTTACATTATATCGATACGTTAGAATTCTCTGGATTTTATGCTTATGTTAATGCATCGAAATTTAAATATAGATCGTCGTTTTAAATTACTATATATGATAAAATAAAATACCATCGATCGATCTAATAAGATCGAAAATGAAATCAAAAAACGCCAGATTCAAACTTGAGTATTTTCAAAAATGTTCTCGAGGTCATCGTTCACTTCTCAACTAAGAATCTCGTTAAAATTTCATTTCGCGAGCTATGCGCCCTTTCCAGTTCCTCATTCGTTCAAGCTTGCTTCTCCGTCCCTCGAAATACAGCCTTCATAGAGGAAAGGAAGACAGAGCACACGAGATATTGCATCGCGGGTGCTCCAGGAATTTCGTCGTCCTTACATCGCGCGACATATTTCATGGAAAGCCGCCTTTCTTCTTGCAACCATCTCCATTGCAACGAGATCGAACGTCTTCGCTCCATGATATGTAAATTTACAAATAAACGAAATTCCTGCAAATTTCCATATTTATCACAGTTTCAATTTTTCAAGGAATATTTTTTTATGAATTATCGTAAGAATGCCATTCTTTTCCTGTATGTAACAGTTCACGAAAAAGCAAAGATTGAAAATTGTCTTTTTCTGTAAGTAAAACTTGATTAGCTAGAAAAATTGATATTAATTTCAAATTTGGAGATTAACTCTCTGTAAATGTTTGATTGTGATTTTTTAATTCTTTTTCGAATGAGGTTATATTATAAGATTATCTGGTATAACAATTCTACATTTCTATATTGTGTGAATGGTTTTTTTAAAAAATACTAATAAATTCGAGGAAATTTAGCTAATTCTAGACTGGATTCGAATTATCAAGAGTGAGTTATTAGAAGATTATTGCACGATTATATAAGTAAAAAATGTAGAATAACATGTAGAATAATATTTTTTAGACTG